CATATATATATATATACATATATATATAAACTTCAACGTTCAATCACCCATAGCACACATAACATAAACACATTGAACTAGCGACCTTACTTGAAGTATATAATTAAGGGTATTCCTAAACAAAATTCCAGATGTGATAGTGCGAGCAGCATTTCACGCTCACATGTTACTGCAATAACAAAGATTGATTGATTAAGGACTACACCTTCTTATGAGATGCATAGATCTTACTTGACACACGTTGTGCGAGATACAAACACTCATCACCTTGCTCGAATCCGATAGCCCAAAGACCTACAATACGCTCTTCGTACAAAACATCGAACCGCAAGATACCGACATACCATATTAGTGCAGGCCAGGGCACGTAGCTGTGAATTGGCATTGGTTAAGAAGAACGACAACTCGTCAAGTGTATTTTGCATTGATGGCTGTACAGCTTCCTTATTATCCTCTGTTGCCTTTGCTGATTCCTGTGCATCTGCCGGTGCTTGTGTATCTGTATTCGACGTAGTTGATTCGGAGTTGTTCATCTTAGCTGTGGTTGTGGGCTCGGATTGAATATCCACTCCGTTAGCAGTGGTAGCTGGCATACTGAGAGGTTAATGGCAACTTAATGGATGCGAAGCAGTCACTCGAAAGGATGTATTTAGACAACAAGGTGTTCGCTACATGTATAAATACATCGAAGTTCTCGTGATATTTTGGTTAAAAATAAAGGCCAAAAGAACTGATGACAATTCAATTTTGGGCGCGTCATAGTTTCAAAACAGGTGCACGTGGCTGATTTGGGCCGATAGCGAAAACACAACTTAAATAGATGGAATGTAAATACACAGTTTTCTACTCTTTTTGTGTAGGCCTATGTTGAACCCTATAGCCTGTACTATTCAGACACAAGCCAGGTAGCAAACATGAACGGTATCGTAGAATACGCCCTATCAACATCCTCAGACGACGCGCAGGTTCTGTGTTGGGACTTGCGCACTCTCAATGTGGTCAGCTCCTTCAAGGCCAACCCAAAATGCGGGAAGAATGGTCTCGCACTATGTGGCCCGAATCTACTAGTTGCCTCACAGCAGAACAAAGCAGCTATGCGCATATATGCATGGGGAAAAGATCAACCTGTGCAAAGGTTTAGTGGACCGGAACGTATCCCTATAGTGGCCTGTAGTCCGGATGGGAATGTGATTGTTGGAGGAAGCGATAGCGGTACGCTCTACGTTTGGCAGGTGCGTATATTTACTAGGAGCGTATTTTTCTATAAATGCACATATCTGTATCGATGAATATGCAAACACACACACAAACAGACACACGCACATTAAAACATACACACACACGGACAAAAATACACACACGCACACACACACAC